AGAAAGTAAACCACTAACTGCATTTAGTACCCCCAATCCTTTAGGACAATACGAATGGAACGTAATGCCATTTGGGTTGAAAAATGCACCACAGATATTTCAGAGAAGAATGGATGAGGTAATCAAACCAATTACTCATTTTTGTATTGCATACGTAGATGATTTACTTATTTATTCAAACAATATTAATGAACATATTGAGCATCTTGAGAAATTCTGTTATATTATGAAAAAACATGGTATTACACTTTCTCAAAAGAAAGCTGAGATAGCTAAAACAGAAATAGAATTCTTAGAATTATTTATAAAAGAAGGAGAATTGCAATTGCAATCCCATATTGGAGAAAAGTTTCAAGAATTTCCTGAAAAAATCAAAGATAAAAAACAATTACAAAGCTTCTTTGGTATATTAAATTATGCTGAAGGATTCATTGAAAATTGTTCTAAATTGAAAAATTATTTTCTTCCAAAATTAAGAAAAAAATATAATGTGGTCTTGGGAAGAGCAAGATTGTGAAAATATAAGAAAGGTAAAAGAAGAATTAAAGGTATTGCCTAAACTTGTAATACCCCAAGAAGAAGATTTTTTTATCTTAGAAATTGATGCTTCAGATTACTACTGGGGAGCAGTATTAAAGGTTAAAAAGAATCATAAAGAATATAAATGTGAAAAAGATTATTCTTGTCCTGAAATACTTGCAGGTTATACATCAGGGACATTCAAAGAAGTTGAAACAAGATATGAGACGAATAGAAAAGAACTTATTACTGTAAAAAGGGGAGTTCAGAAATATGAAGATTATTTATTACCAAAGAAGTTCTTGATTAGAACTGATAATACTCAAGTTAAAGCATTTTTGAAAAATAATGTTGATCCATCTGTGACTAATAGATATATTATTAGAATACAAATTTGGTTTTCATATTTCAAATTTGATATTGAATATATTAAAGGAAAAGCTAACTTTCTTCCTGATTATCTTAGCAGGGATGGAGCTAGAACAATTAAGGACGAAAGTCCAAATACTTGAGATAAAAGTTTCCTATTTGGAAACCCAAATTCAAAATATCCAAGATAGCCTTCGAGGCAAGAATTTAGCCCATGAGGCAGAAGTTACTTGTACCAAGACTAGTATCCCTTCGCAGGGACTTGTCAAAAGAAAAGGTAGCTCTTCACAGAGCCAAGCTCAATCTATCCTTTCTATTGAAAGGATAGATACCAAAGATATTGTTAAGATATGCCATGAAGTAAAAATGCCCAAAAAAGATAACTATGAAGAAGTAACACTCTTTATTGTTATTTTTAATATTCTATCAGATTGGTATCTGGAGATTGGAAAGTGGATGAAAACTCTCCACTATTCGAAATATAACAAGATAAACTTTTATCTAGGAGCACCAGCCAACTGGGTTCGAAATTGCTTTGAAATAGGAAATATACTTTGTATATATCCTAGTAAAGATCTCAAGGAGATAGCTCAGCTTCCAGCCAACATTAGGAAAGCTGTTAAAAGATATACTGAAGTTGTTAAAACAACGAATATATATATCAGATTTCATTCAGCAACAACGGAATGGGATCCTGTTCTTTAATATATGCATCCATCGTTCCATGTGATCAAAATGGGACTAACAAATCAACATTTTCTACCAACCAATCAAAAGGTTGTTAAAAATGGATATCAAGATATTCTAAACATGATGCCCTACAGGAGAGCAAAAGGGTATAAAGAGATATTTGAACATGTAACTCAAATTATTATTGAGAAAGAAAAAATATGGGTTTACCCATGTGAAGATCATATTATCTATTCCAATGCAAGGATGGATACCAAAGAAGAAGATATTTGTTATCTTGATCATTTATTATCTGCAATTATATCCAACCAAGTACACGGATCAGATGATATGGCTAAAGAACTATGCAAATTACTCTGGAATTACAGTGATCTCCATTTTGAATACTGTGTTGTTGAAGATATGAGTCAAGCATCTCTTAATGATGAAGAATTCCCTGCAGAATTCTTTGATTCGAAAATGGAGAAGTGATGGTGACTAAAGTAGCCCTTTATCACTACTTTAATAAAGAAATTTATTAAAGAAAAACTGTGGCTACTAGAAGACAGAAGATAATACAAGAAAAGTCTCTATAATTGTAACTACTCCTCACCAATAGTTACAAGTGGCAGACAAACCCAAAAGATAAGGCATCTACTTTCAAAAGAAGTGGTCCACCCAACAAGAAGACAATGAAGAATTCGGTGGAGATAAGATGGCCTAACTACCTAACAAAGAAAAAAGGAAAACACCTGTCCAAGATAAGATTCCAAAATCTCCTATAAAAGGAGGCAGGAAGGAAGAAGGAGAGGGGATCAAAAACCTTGAAACAACTTCTCTTAAACACATTTGAGAGAAATCTTTTGTAATCTGTATACACTACTTGTATTCAGAAAAATATTAGATAGCTCGAAGATAGGAAAGTGTGTAATAAGGTAATCACTTATGGAGTTCTAAACTTCATAAGGCGAGTACCAAAGGTATGTAAATATAGTTTGTCAGCATGTACAATTTCAGTTTATGAATATCAAAGTAAAGCTTGTTATGTTCAACAAAGCTTTCATAAAAGGATTTCGTTAAGTTTCTCATGATTCCTCGACAGTACAGATAGAGATTTTAAAAAATTTTCAAAATTTTGATTTTGAATGGATGTTAGCCATACCAAAGTACCCGTATTTGATGAATGGTTTAGGAGAAAAAGGCAGTTTTCTAACAAAAATTTGTAGCACCTTGTGTGTGAGTTATCTTTTAAAATTTCGTTCCAAGTAGGAACTTGATTCTGAAAAGAGTTTGGATAGAGGTGAAAACAGAGACTTTGGATACTGTGAGATAGCGTCTGTGGAAACACGGCTAGTTCTCTAGAATGAGAAGTGCAACCTTAATTGAAAAACCTTTTGCGGAAGCAGTTGTGGACCCAAATGATTTCAAAAATATTTTTAATCTTTACTTGATTCAGAAAACTGATTAAGTACATGTAAAACATCTATAAAAGTATACTGGAGGGAAAGCCTGTTTATTTCCAATTGATTACTGTAAGTTATTTATTTTTACATGCTTATGCTTTAATTATTTCCATGAACAATTCACAAGCATCCACTTCCACTACTGATAATGGTAATAATCTTATTTTATTTTTAGATGAAAAAGATGTTTCGTTCTTACTTAAACTAGATAAAAAATTTGATGATATATTTCCCGTTGGTAGAGAAAAAATAGAAGAAATATACAGAGATATAGATTATAATTGTAGAAATAATATAGGATTTGATCCTGTAGGAACTAGTAGAGAAATAAGAAAAGTAGAAGATATTATAACTAAACATACAAATATACAAGAAGAAATCTCAGAATGATTATTTAAAGGATACATAACTAAGAGAGGTCAACCTATAATCTTTGAATAACTATTAAAATATAAAGAATATTTAAAGGTGTTCAAAAGATTGAAAAATATAGATATAGGACCTGATTAACAATTCTTTAAAGATATAAGATAGATATTGTAAATAATTTCATTAAAGGCAATATAGTACTCTTGATAAGAAAGGCTACTGTGAAAAATAGGAGGAAATTACCAGCCATTTCCAAAGTTGACCCTGCGATAGCACATAATCAAAATAAAATCTTGTATTTGACACACAAGAAACAATCACCAGAAAACGTAGCAGAGAATTTAGAAATTCTGGCTTTGAAATCTACAAATTTCCAGATGCCATTATTGTTCTTTCGAATAAAAATTTACAAATATCAACAGAAAACCCTGATCATTTTCAGATCTAAGCAAATTCCACATTTTTTTTCTCAGGCACGAGAACAAACCATTCAATTAATGCAGAACAAATGTACCCCAGATATCTATCAGAACATCGGTTACATTAACCAGAGGCGTCAAACGAAAACTCGTCAAACAGTTTTATTGTCAAATTTCATAGATTTAGCATAGAACCAAATTAATTGTGTAATCCATACACCCGTTTATGCACAAATATACATATACAAATAAATATAAACATACACACGTATATTAATAAATGTAAATGCATCTAAATAGTTGGAGGACGAGGAAATGGTTCCTGAATACCATGCTCGAGGAAATAAAGATTCCATCAAGCATTTCCGACCTGGATACCGGCCTGGCCAATGCGAACGGCAATACATTCTCTCATTTTCGATGGAAAAATATAGGAAATTATGGGAAGAAGATTGAAAATCGGGCAAAAATTTGAGAAAACAAAATGAAAATTTTGGCGTTTATAAGTAACGTATAATATATTCCAAAGTTTAGTGGTCAAAACTCGACATTTTAAATTTCAGTGACTAATCGAAGATATAGACTTAAGTTCAGTGACCAAAACTTGATATTTTTCAAAGTTCAGTAGCCAAAACTCGATATTTTAAATTTCAGTGGCCAATCAAAGAAATGAATCTAAGTTCAGTGACCAAAATGCGATATTTTTTAAAGTTCAATGGCCAAAACTCGACATTTTAAAGTCCAGTGGCCAATTAAAAATATGGACCTAAGTTCAGTGACCATTAGAACAATTAACTCAAGAAATGGGGAAGACGAAAGTATTTATAGCTAGAAAAAATGGCAAGGGAGTGGAGGTTGCGTGGGTGTTGTGGAGACGGCGGATAATGAAGGTTGCTTGGATTGGGCCCAGATATTAGCTGGCTTGCTCAATCATTTCATAATTTCTTGATCTAAATGGAAGATATTTGGGTGTCCCCAATTATTGACAATTTCTTGATTAAATTCGAAGATTTTTGTGGGGTCCCTTTCATTATCTACAAAAGAAATTAGAAATGAAATTTCATTAAAATAAAAATATAGCCAAATTAATATCTCCAACTAATTCCATTTTAGGACACCTTTTGCAATGAATTGCATCACTAGTGATAACAAACCCTGTATGGCATATATGCAATATTAAATGATAAGTTCAATTAAGCACTCGTTTAATTAGTTTTATAAACGTGTTTCTTTAAAAATTAGAAAAAGTTTTAAAAAAAGTTGATCCAATATGACTTTTTTTAATAGATTTTCTTGAAGAGGAAAGTCTTTTGGAAATTAATTTTTAAATACTAATTAAAATAATTTTGTCATGAAACTCTTTTAGAAGAAGTAGATACAAAAGCATTGATAAATGGACTCTAAATGTAGTTTTATGACATCGGGTCCCTGCTTGCATCCTATTCTAACGCCATCGCTTGAAGTCCATTTTTTAGGCTCTGGAACTCGTCTGGAAATTATGTCAATATGTCCTAAGGCAATCCAGACTTTCGCAACAGACGAGTGAATTGTATGATTGGGTCGAGGACTGCCCCCTTTTCCCCTCACCTCCTTTCCCTAACATGAGTTGGAATTGAATCCAAAGATTGAAAGAGAGACCCCCCTCGAAGGAGGGGGATCTTGTGTGGTTCAAGGTCTTCTCGCTTTCCTCTCTTTAATTTAAGGTTATTTTAGAGAGTCGAAGAGCCTCATGTTCACCAACTCCGGAGTGAGGAGCTCATGCACTCGTGCCACATACCCATGAGTCACGAGCTTACAAGGGATTATAGAGACTGAACGATAGATGAAGATACCGGAGAGAAAAAATTTGGAGTCGTGAACGGAAAAGCTAAGACCGCTTTCTACAGGTATGGTAGAGGCACCTGAGAAGGTGGACTATCTTTCAGTGATACCTATCAACATCATCCCTTCCAGTTTCAGATACATATTGAGTTCCATATCCTATTCCCATAAGGTATAGCATACTGTATGGAGCTATCGTCGAGTATAGTATAGCAGTGAAGGAGGGGTCACCAATTAATTGGACCTGTCATGTTGCCAAAGAGTTACAAATGGTGCTATATAACATTACACTAATACAATTCAAAATTTTTCCTGTTTGTTTTCCACCCTTTCTTATATAATCAAGGCTTTTTCATTATTTTGCTTCTGCTTTCACCCTCTTCTCAGCAACAATTTTGATTTGTTTTTCAAAATCAGCAGCTCATGACTTGTTTTTACTTGTTCGTTAACCTTTCGAGCATTTCTTTCAATTGTCGCCCGATCTCCCAACATGCTCTAGAATTGAGAGCCATCTAGTGACTAGATAGTTAGAGGAAGTTTGTTTAAAGAAAGAAGATAGGCGAGCATACAACTCTGTGTTATATTGTGCTCTCCAAATGTCATGGGTCTCCCCCTTTCTTCTTTACCCTCCGACTCTTTGTAAAATAACTCCCACGAGAACAAAAATGGAGCGAAAGAAAAATAAGGCGCAACAGATTTTGTAATCGAACCCACCCAACCCAACTAAGAACCAAACCTAACAAATTCCTACTAGGAGGGTACTCCAGGTAGGGAGTACCTCGTAGGACCTCTTGACCTGCCTACTCAGGTCTTGTATGGACATGCCAGTAGGAGTGCACCGAGGTTACTCTTCTTCCTTCTCTCCAGACAGCACAGTTGACTTGTTAAGTTGATGCCGGACTCAATTGCAGCACAGAAAATTGAAATACCCAGGATGATGGTGTTGAAGACTAGCCTTAAAAGTGGTCACAAATAGATGTGTCGGTCAGTATAGTTGAATCTGTTTCTCCTGCTCTGTAAAACCGCAGAGGACACTCCCAAAAGGATTTCCCAGAGCATGAACGAAAAATGTAACAGGAGAATCAGCACATGCCGAGGTAGCACAATTTCCAAATACTAGTTTATAGATTCATAATCATGTACAAGGTTACATGAGAAATATATAGTACCTCATGATCTGGTATCTTCTACAATTTAGCCTCAAATGGAGTTCAAAAGACCTTCTATTGTGGTTTACTTAAATGTAACCTATGATATATAGATAAACAAATCACAACTACAGCGCAAACTTTTCTGTGGTGCGATTGAACAAAAGAGAGGGCAGAAATGGTGTATGGTTAAACCTAGAACCTGTCCATGACCCCCTGTAAAGATCGATCCATCTCTTCATATTCAAAGAACTAGAGTTGCTCAGCACATCTACCTTGCATCAGAAGTCATATGCCACCATTTCTGATCTCTGAACCTATCCTTCACAAAGAAATAGATCAAATGGCAGGTTTTGTGCCACTCCATGTATGTGGATCATCATCATCTGCCCTGTGAATACGGCTTTCTTGGAAGTAGGATATCCCAGTCCATATCCCGCGAATAAGCAAAATACTCACGAACACTGCACTCCCAAAGGAGCAAATTACCTGGAATGACATGTACAGAAAACGATTTAAGGAATAGAACAATCTAATCTAGAGAAAAAACATTTATTAAGCTCTTAAATCGAAGGATAAAAAGCTTCATGTAATATAGTTTAGAAAACCTTAAACTGGCAATATTAGAAGCCTGAATCACCAAAATCTATTAACCGCAGGAAGTGGTGGTTACTAAAAGTTTGATTATAAACATTTTTGTAGTTGCAGGGGACAAGACCAATTATCACAAGAATTAAATGGCTAACATTCTTTAGTTGATCTTTTGCTGGGCATCTCAAGAACCCACTTGTGGTTGAGCAAATTACATCTGTTAAGTGAAGTACATAAGCTCTAAGTATCAAATTGAGCAACTTTATTTATACGCACAAATTGATGATAGACCTTGGCATTCTGACATCTCTTTCTGTCCAAATACACAATATAATGGCCAGGAGGAGTAACTCATAAATTTCTACAGTGTTTTCCAGAAAACTATGGCCTTGCTGAGATTACAAAACCCTTACATCAGGTATCAACCAAAAATAGTGAGGATAAGACACACAGCGACTGCTATACATGAACTTTGTATAACCTTGTCACTTCTTCAAAGTCGGTTCCTAATATTCTTAAATCCAGCAATATACATAGAAGGGAACATTATCTTGAAAGAAAGTAAATTCAATGGAGAAGTGAATGATTACCTCTAGGAATGCCTTCAAAACCCACAAAAATGTCAGAATTATTACTCCATTAACAGCAAATCCCACCTAACAGAAAGAACAGGGCCTTTAAGTCAAAGAACCTAGTGAGATAAGCAAAACAGGGTCATACCATAAAAAACTACTAGTTCTTGGTTGGTTGTTAGTAAGAGGTCTTCATCATCAACTACTTCTACACATGCTCATTACCATAAATATGCAGACAAACAAGCGAAAATGTGCTCTATCTTTTAGTGAAATGGCAAAATGACTAAGTCAAAATTATGATGAAAGGTATTAAAGCTTTTTAACAATTCCTCAAAACAGAAGTAATAAAAATTGAAAAAATGGAATCCAATGTAGCATAAAAGAATAGACTGTTCAGGTAGAAGTCAGAGATGAAGTAAAAGGCGTAAAAGGTTCTGATGTCGGTAAAACATTTGATACTTTTGATAAAGATAAGCCACCCCTGACAGTCTCCCGGCAAACGAATAGCAACACCATGCATGTAGATCAAAACACGGATTTCATATACCTCACTGGATCACATGTTCGCATAGCTTTGGGCATGCAGACTTCCGAGGTTGTCAGATAAACAGCAGAAAAGTAATTTTTACAACCTCATTCGTATGCATATATATGTGTGAACATGCATGTAGAAATGGCCAACTTTACAATGTTCAAGCAATAATTGATTCTATGTTCACCGTATCAAACTATGGCACAATAAAATGTGAGCAACCTGAGAAAAGCTTTCAAAGAAATCAAGTGAAGATAATGGTTGTATAGAACTTGTTCAGAAGAAATTCATGAAAACTATTGCAAGCCCGAACATGAGAAACTAGCACAATCAAGATGAGTGGTTTCTTTAGATTCCAAGAGGATCTTTGTGCTATTTGAACATCTCATAACATGACCATCACCCCCCAAATAATCTTTCAATATAAACCTGTAACAGAGATCTAAAGGTGTGGACCATTAGATTCTCTATATATGTTAGCATCTACGACTATAGCAAATTTAGTCCACTGTAAGAAAACCATAAAATCCTTATATTCATGACCTGTAAAGAGTTCTAATCGTGAGTACATAAACTACCCCTAAGCTAAAATCAACAAACGAATAAAAGAAAAAAAGCAAAACCCCTTGTACTAGAAATAATACTAATTAAGATCATAAACCCAAAAAAGCAAAATCTTGTCAGCTAAAAATCAGAATATAATGCGGCCATCATTTGTGGCTGCTCAATTTATATGAATTCTGAATTCAAGACCCAAACGAAATTACCACCAAAAACTGAATTAATCTGTAGAATTTCGAATTGTGTATCGAGTTGACAGCATATCCTTACCAATTGGGCCGAAATAGGGACAGGAAGAACAGATCGAACGGCCTTGCGTGCTTTTCTAGAGACCTTTCTGAAAATATTCTCTACGAACCTAATCAAAAGATCCAAACTCCTATCTTCCTCTTCATCATCTTCATCTTCTTCATCATCGTCGTCTACATAGCCATAATCCCCCATAACTACGCCGCTCCGAGGATTGACGCCCCTAGTCCGCCAATCATAATTCAAACTCTGACCTTCCTGTACAATAAAAAGTCAATTACTAATCGTATCGTCGTGCTCAAATGCTTATAGACCGACGAAAGTGTTTGACCTGAAGGAGAGGGGTGTTAAGGCAGTGGTGCTGGAAACGTAGTACGGTGGGAATCGAGATTTGAGAATGAGATATTTTTGAAGAAGGGCAGGAGAGAGGGAAGTGGTGGAGAATGACGGCGGTCGCCGCCATGATTTAGGAGCTCTCTCGACTATTCAGTGCCGCTGGCCTGCTTGATGCGCTTAATGATTGTTAGAATGATTTTAACGGATTGTAACGCACCGAGACTAAGTAGGGTTGGCAATGGTTCGATTATAGATCGAATTAAAATCATAACTGCATCATTAATTTTTTGATCATATCATAACCGCACCATAACTACGTAAATCAGTTCTATTCGATTAATAACCACGAAAATAAATTATTTTTATAGGTTCATCCGTCAAATTGATATAAAACAATTTATGAAAAAAGTCAATGAAAACAAAAACACAATATTCCAAATGAAAATACAAACATTACTCCAATTTTCAATTGCAAAATACAAATTTAACAAACAATATTATAAATATAACAATACTAAACTTTTCCTTCATTCTTAATTGTTGTACATCGAAGTTACTTGATTCATTCTTCATTCTTACTAGCATAGATCAGTACTCAAAGTTGATTCCTATATAGTAAATAAAAAATGTAAGTAGAGAATACAACGATATTACCTATTCCAGTATGATCTTAAGTAAGATTTAAATAAAAAAAAGTACTTCTTCGTCAGCTTTCTTTTTGCTAAACGTTCACAAACTCTAGAGTATAATGAAGAAGTAAAATTTTCTACACATAATAGAAAAAAATTAACAATAAAAGAAAGTGTATAAATAACAAATATAAAACAATAAATCCTCCCATAAATATCAATCCAAAGCCAATCCCGAGCACACATGAAAGCTTCTAGAGTCTTCAGGTGAAGCCTAGTTCTATATGGATTCACAAATCTACCACTTGTACTAAATGCCGACTCAGATGCCACAGTAAATACTGGAATGGCTAATAAATCTCTTGCAACCTTCTGTAAAGTCGGATATTTTATTGAATTTGTTTTCCACAATGTCAATAAATCAAATCATCCATTATTGGCAATACTGGCTCGTCTAGAAAAATATCAAATTCTATTTTTTACATTATCAGCAGTAATAGAATGGCTAACAAATGTAACAAATTTCCAGAGGCGACGACGATTTGGATCGTGGAGGCAGTAGAGCCGTGCGTGAGTTTGTGGTTTGTGGAGAATAGGATTTGCATTTATATACTGTCATACTAATGCTATTATTATGGGCTAATGGTAAGTGTGCTGGCCGGCTGAGTTAGGTAGATGTAATGGTGGGGATTTTGTTTTGGATTAAATAGAAAAGTTGTGTAAAACCCAATAATCAATTTAATTGTGTGTTTTTTTTAGCGGGTAATCGGTTCAGTTTCGGTTCAACGACGTAAATATCATACCCGCACCGCCACGAACCGGTTTATTAAAATCAAAACAATATCCGCCCCATTGCACCATCGGTTCGATTTTTTTTGCCCCATTTGATTTGGTTAACCGCGATTTTCTATTTTGACGGCTCAAATTGCCATCCCTAACTGAAAGTTTGATGCTGTAAAATTTAACGGCCAATTACACTTACAAAGTAAAGAGCAAAAATGTCATATGAATAGTGATTAATGTTAAATAACATTGTTCTTCATAATTAGTGGATATATTTCATTATTTTGGGTGTGATCTGAGAGTTGGTTAGAAACGGAAATATTGTGAGCCTAGGATCTTGAAAGTTTTCATACAAAGAGTAAAAAAAGGTGCTCTAAATCTCAAGTTTATTTTTCTTTGTAATACTTGGGAATTGGGTTGGTGAGTGAAATTCTAAATGGTTATAAAAATTTTCATATAGTGAAAAGTTTTGACTGTTCGTTTAATTTGTACGTTATATTCTTTATTTTTCTTGTTTGCTAATATTTTTTGAACAACAAAAGATCGTGGATAGATAGAAATAAAGAAAATTGGCGTAAAATTCCTAACAAATAGTATCAGAGCATCAAGTGGTTCGGAGTATTCGAGCAACAGAAAAATATGTCATCGTTGAAATATGATGTGAAGAAATTTGGCGGTAGAATCAATTTTAGCTTGTGGTAAGTACAAGTTAGGGATTTATTGATTCAAGCTGGACTGCATAAGGCTTTGAAATAAAAAACAACTAAAATTTCTGACAAAGAAGCTGAATCCAGTATAAGCAATGAGGATTGAGAAGAATTGGACTTGAAGGCTGCAAGCACGATACATATCTGTCTGGCTAAAAACATTCTTGTTAATATTCATGGGATATCTTCTGTTTGTCTATGAACATATCAAGCCAATCTTAAAGTAAGGGAAATAAAATGTAAGTTTCACAGAAGTGACAAACAACTTGACCTTAGAAGAAAGAAGATTAGGGGACAGAATATTTCATCTGACAATGCGCTGCTTGTGACTGAAAAAGTGGAAAAAGTGCAATTCCATGAGGAAGAAAGCAACTTGTTAGAAATGCGATCAAATTGGCTACGTGAAGAAAATTGTCCAAAAGGTAGAGCAGGGTTGGCTAACTGCTTGGGGTTGGACAATGTGTCTCTTCTGGTGGAGGAAGATGCGGATGTGGTGCTGTAAAGTAAGTTGGGAACATCCTCATAGCATGTCGCCAGTTGCCATGATAGAGGATGTGTTTTTTCTGGCATGGTTCAATATATCTACACATAGCATTGACTGGCATTTGATGCTAGGTGTGTAGGTATATGATGGTGTTTTGATGTCGATGGCTAATAAGCTCTCTGGAAAAGTCAGTGGGAGAGTTGCACCATAGCTATGAGCAGGGTTGTTTTGACATGTAGCCAATGAAATGCTCGGAGTTCTCGTATAATTCTGAATTGTTATACTCATATGGTGGAGTATGTGACTATTAAAGTGTGTCAAAGGCTTACTTATTTTTCCAAAGTATTGTGATTAAAAGTTGTAGAAGAGATAACGAGATTTTGACTTGTTTTTTACAAGGTAGAGATTGTTGGGCAATTGCCTCGAAAGTCAAAAGTTAGAGGTCTTCTATTGCAAATAATAAAAGGTAATGATTGTTTGGAAGACTTTTAATTAAAGTTGAGAGCATAATCCTTCAGTAATTGGTTTCCAATTGATAGTCGATTTTTGAGTCTTGCATATAAAGGAATCTTTATTTGAGTTGAAATTAAACTCTTCTACTTGGTTATTGATCCTATAAATAGTGAATATACTTCATTATTTTGGGTGCAGTCTGAGAGTTGATCAGAGAGAGAAATATTGTGAGTTTAACATTTTGAGAGTTTTCATATAAAGAGTAGAAAAGTGGGTGCGGTAAAGCTCGATTTATTTTTCTATGTAATACTTAGGAATTGGATTGGTGAGTGAAATTCTATCTGATTGTAAAAATTTTCATACAGTGAAAATTTTTGACGATCCGTTTAATTTGTGCATTATTTTATTTATTTTTCTTGTTAGTTAATATTCTTTGAACAACAAAAGATTCTGTGGGTAAATAAAAATAAAGAGAATTGGTGTAAAATTCCCAACTTCAATTGCCAGTGGCATAAAGCAGTGTGACCACACAAAACCAGTCTTTCCACTTAAATCAATCATCAATGGCAACTCAAATTATCCTTCACGAACGTCCAAAATGTAAACACCTTTTTTACAGGAAATGTAATGAGAAAACCACCATCATTTCCATCCATATTCCTAGTTAAACGGCAATTTGCCCACACAACATTAAAAAATGCCACACTTGCTCTTCGTTGAGTCGCACCTAATACGTGCCAGATTGCCTTGCTCCATTAGCTGTTGGATTTGGGCATGATGCCTCACTATTCATTTGGTCTTGATTTTGTGATTGGGTTGTTCTTTACTTGGGCTGATTACTTGTGAAGAAAATTGTTGTCATGCGTTGGATAGTTTTTTGGTGGCGAAATATGAAAAGAGGAATAGGTTTCTTTGTAGAAAAGTGCATAATTTTCCAGCAAGTGAAAGCAGAACATTAGAGACCATCAGGATTATTAAATCCAATAGAAATTCCTTAATAGAAATAGGAGCACATTGCCATGGATTTTGCAAAATCAAATAGAGGAAGTGATGCAATTTTGGGTCATTATCGACAAATTGAAAAAGTCAGCTCATTTCTTACCAATAAAGATGGCTTTTAATATGGATTGGTTAGCTCAACTACATGCTAGAGAAGTGATCAAATTACATGGGACCCCAATCTCTATTGTGTCAGATAGAGATTCGAGATTCACTTCTCAAAATTTTTGAAAAGTATGCACAAGACAATGGGGACTAAGCTAAAATTGCTCACTTTTTTCTTTAAAAAAAAGTAATCAAATGTCTCGAATATAGCTTTCCACTCACAGTCAGATGGTCAATTGGAGAGGACTATTTAAATTCTTGAGGATGTGTTTCGAGCATATGTCCTAGATCCTAAAGGAATCTGGGAACAAATCTACCATTGATAGAAATTGACTATAATAATAGCTATCAGACTACTATAGGATGGCCCCTTATGATGTTTTGTATGGTAGAAGGTGCAAATCTCCAGCTCATTAGAATGAAGTTGGTGAGCAATGAATTCTCGGGCCGAACAATCCTAGCTATTGAAAAGATTCGTTCTAGAATAAAAATTGCCCAAGATCAACAGGAAAAGTTACTCAAATAACAAGAGGAAGAATCTTGAGTTCGAGGTTGGTAACAAAGTTTTCCTAAAAATAACTCCTATGAAGGGAGTTATTCGACTTTGTAAAAGAGGAAAGCTCCAACCAATATACATAGGACATCTTGAAATTTTGAAACGTGTGGGAACTGTGGCTTACAAGCTGACATTACCTCTCGAACTTTTAATAGTACACAATGTCTTTTCATGTCTCTATGCTTCGAAAATACGTATCAAATCCTGGCTATGTGATTAATCCTAAATCATTAGACATTCATCTAGATCTAACTTATGAGAAAGCTCCAATAGTTATCTTGGATAGGAAGATTCAAATATTTCAAAATAGAGAAATTTCCTTGGTAAAATTCAATAGCAAAATCATGCCGTAGAAGAGTCCACTTGGGAATATGAGGTAGATATTAAAGTTAAATACCCACAACTTTCTGATAACTAAGGATAATGTCAAGAACGAAATTTTTTAGGGAGGGAAGGATGTAATACCCCAAACATATGTACAATATATTATGAGGCA